CGCGCTTCGCGCATTGTGATCTGGGCCCGACCGGTTGCCCTTCTCCAAAAGGGCGGCGCGGGGGCGCGGGGGAGCAAAGATAATCGCACGTCGCGCATCGCGGAGGCGCGTTGAGTAAAATTACGTGACCTAAGAAAAGCCTGTCAGCGGTTAAAAACTGTGGCGGGCTAGACTCACAGTGTTGGCTAGTCAGCCTCCTTGTGAATTCACATGGAAGAACTGTGAGTCTCTGAGAGCCGCGCGTGAGCGGTCGCATGGTGGAAGCGCCAGGTGATGCGCGCTGGAAGAGCAGGCAGGCCGCCACTGTCGCATCTCAAGTGCAGCCGTCGGCAAGCCGCGCATCAGGGGTCACTCTGGCAGAGGGTCGCTCTTGCGTACAGCCGAGAGGACGACCAGGAGGACCAGCTGCAGGATGAGTTGGAGGGCGACGCCTCCAGCGCGCAGGACGGCTACCCACGGTGGAAGCGTGCCTTCGACCGTATCCAGGCGGGCGAAGATCCGTGTAGACCGAGGTGCTCCACCCCGGGCGATGCTTGTCCCACGGGCGGCCGGAAGACCTTCGCGCCTTCGTGGGGCGAAACATGAGCGCACGATGTTCCATGCCGGCCGCCCTGATCGGTGTTTGACGTCGTGGCCGTTTCAATACACGGCCCTGGCCCCCCTGGGAGAGTACCTGATCGCACTGGGCGCGTACTCGCAGCCTCATGCTGACAGGACGGCAAACGACCTTTCGAGGTCCCGCGGCGGTGCAGCCGCTGTGCTGCGAGGGACTGCGAGATGCGCCGCTGCAGCGCATATCGACGTCCGCCGACGTCCTGATTCTCTTTCGCGACGTGGCTCTTCGAGTCATAATAGGGGGGGGGAGTTTTCTGGCGCGGACCACGTGTCTCTCATGCCTTCAGCATCTTGCCGTGCTGAAGACTGACATTCTTTACCATATTTGGCTTCTGGGTGCCCGCTTCGGGCCCAGGACCGTCAAAAGCCAGTCTGGGGCGAGAAACAAGCTCTTGCGGAGGGGTCGAGCATCCCCAGGGCTGCGCAGTGACAGAGCCAGAGCGCGCACCGACGCCTGGAGGCCTCCAGGCCAGAACTGGAGCTCGGCGTCCGAGGATGCCGAAAAACGCCAGGAGAAGCCAGTCGTGATCTTTCCCGCGACGCCCCAGACACCCGATGATTCATGATGTTCCAACCTGCTTTGGCCTTGACCGCCAGAAAGAATTTCGAGCCCCAAAAACGTACCGAAACTCGAAGGTTTTCACGTGTCGGGCCCTGGGAGGCACTCGTCCGACACTGTTTCGACACTCTTTCGGCACTCTTTCGACACTCTTCCTGGTGCTCGAACTTATCTATGGGATGTGGTCTTTAAGTGCGATGGGAGCAATATAACCGATGATATGATTTTTCAGCCCACGGCCTCCGAGTTCCCGGCTATTCTACCCGTGGACAGTTTCATCCTGCATCCAGTCGGGGGAGCGTAAGACCCGGGTTTGCCGGGACTCGGTTTCGCCATCGTTTTTTGACGACCGCGACTCGGATTTTGACGAGGAGGGGTTTCGTGGGATGTCTGCAGCGGGAGGCCTCGTCAAAATGCAGGCTCGGCCTCGTCATTTTTTTGACGACCTCGTCGGGGATTTCCGAGTCCCCCGTACCCGGGTCTTACGTCTCCCCGATCCAGTGCTCACGGTCCCGGGGCCCGAAGGCGGCCCCTGGCGTCGGGGGAGCATGAGGCTCGAGTTCGCCGGAACTCGGCTGCGCCGACGCTTTTTGATTGGCCTGTTTTTTGATTTTCGACAGTCCAGTATCTGTGGGATGTTTGCAGCGGGAGTTCGCGTCAAACTTCATGCTGGGTCTCGTCATTTTCATGAAGGCCCCGTCGGGCCGGCCCGAGCCTCCCAGGTCCGAGTCTTAGTATCAGGAGGTCTTTAGTTGTGCATCCCCTCCTGTTTCTCTCGGCGGGGAATTTTCTCGCCCCTCCTCGTCGTCGTCTTTGTCGTCGTCGCGGCAGAGGTTTTCTTCCTCTAATCATTCTTTCTGGGGCAATCCCAAGAAATAATCCCTTGTGGGCTACTCTACACGCGAGAGGATTCGTGAACATCATTTTCTAATAATGATAGCAATCAGAATTTGCGTTTTGCTTCGCGAATGTTCGTAATCGTAGTCGAGGTCGTAGTCGTACTCGTAATCGTGGTCGCTAAGTACTCGTAGTCGCAGTCGTAGCCCGAGCAATAGTCGTATCGTGGTCGTAGTCGTAATCGTAGTCGTAGTTGTCGTCGGCGTTGTTGCGCGGGGGGTGCCGCGGAGAAACTGTTTGTTTTTCCACGTCTGGTGGGGCCCAAGTCCATCAATTAGGGCGTCGAAGCGATAACTCGTTTCCACTATCTGGGGGGTCCTCTAAAGGTCTATAGAGGTTATGCCTCTCCAGGAGATGCCGAAATCAGGGAGATACGTCGGAATTGAACCTTCAAAGCAGAACATCTCAACACAAAATCAGAGGATCAGAGGATGCTTGCCCGCCCTGCCTGCAGGCTATGGGATACTCTCGGCGCGATCCCCTCCTCGTCGTTGCCGTTCCCCTCCGTGCCCCTCTCCACCTGCCCCTCCTCCGGCCGCGTCCAGAGCTCGTCCTGCTTCCCCCGCCTCCAGCAGCAGACCTCCCATGCAGTTTGCGCAGCAATCGATGGATTCAAACCCTGCGGGTGCCATCAATATGTTCTAATTAGGACACCCTGGTCGGCGGATGAACGATTCAACGCACGCCATGGGGAGGGATGTGTGGGAGGGGTCGGATGTCAGATGTGACGCGAGTGCACTTAGCTTCGCTCTATGCGTGTGTGTGTGTGTGTGTGTGTGTGTGTGGGTGCGTGTGTGGTGCGTGCGAGCGTGCGTGCGTGCGTGCGTGCGTGCGTGCGTGCGTGCGTGCGTGTGTGGTGTGTATGTGTGTATGTGTGCGTGCGTGCGTGCGTGCGTGCGTGCGTGCGTGCGTGCTTGCGTGTGTATGTGTGTGAATGTGCGTGTGTGCGTGTGTGTGTGTGTGTGCGTGCGTGCGTGCGTGCGTGCGTGCGTGCGTGCGTGCGTGCGTGCGTGCGTTCGTGTGCGTTCGTGTGCGTGCGTGCGTGCGTGAGTGCGTGCGTGCGTGCGTGCGTGCGTGAATGTGTGTATGTGCGTATGTGACTCCGTAGTCTCCATGCTCTGTATTCTGTCCGTGCTCGCAAGGACCCCTGCACTTGGCCGCAACCGAGAGCACGAGAATCCCAGTGCCTGGAACCAACGAGTCGAGACACCGGGGGACCTGGCCGCCCACCGACATCGGCCTGGCATCTCCGCCGCTTCAGGAGTCCGGGAATCCGGCGGCCTGCCGGAGCCTCGGGGCCCCGAGCCGTGGGGCCTCGGGAGCCCGGCCGCCTACCGACCTCGGCCGTTGCATCTCCGCTGACGGGCCTGTTCTCCACCAGCACCACCACCATAAGTTGGAGGGGGAGGGGGTCCTCTTCCTCCTCCTCCTCCTCCTCCTCCTCCTCCTCCTCTTCCTCTTCGTCCACCTCCTCCTCCTCGTCCTCCTCCATCCCCCCTCCAACTTATGATGGTGGTGGTGGAAAACAGGCCCGTCATCCGCCTGTTCTTGCGGTTGCCCTTCAAGACCCTGTCAGTAGAATGCAACTCCTGGGAGATTAAAAACGGAATCGGCGCTGGCATCATCGTAGTGGGAAACCGGCGTAATCGGGCATCCCGTTGAATTCCCGTCAACTCCTGTCAATCAAGTTTAACCCTTCTGAATATAGTCTAATACTGGGCGCAATGGCCATTCTACCAGGCTTCATCCTTTTATCGTTCCCACGATTCATTCCCAGGAGGTGTTTCTCTAATCCTTCACGCGTCGCGTATTCCTACCAGCCCATTCATCAGCCCTTCCCATGAGAGTTGACGGGAAAAGAGGCGAAGAGACACATCTTCGGAGGGCGCCAAGTACACACCTACACTGATCCTGGCCAGGCCCATCCTGGGCCCAGGATCGGCATGTATGCCTCCTCACCTGGCCAGAAGGGCGTATGCACCGATCCTGGGCAAATAATGGGTCTGGCCAGGATCGGTGTAGGTGTATAGTTGGCACCCTGCGACATATAGTGAAACAAAGTGGGCAGCCAGGGTGAACAGAGAGATCTCTGGAGCAAGGGGGTGGCCTTGGAGAGCCTCTTCGGGCAAGGAGGAGGAGGAAGACGACGACGACGGTGGTGGCGACGCCCACGACGGAAGAGGAGGAAACGGAAAAGGAAAAGGAAGACGATGAAGGAAAGGACGAGGACGAGGACGAAGGAAGGGACCGATGACGAGGACAGACCCCTCAAAATCGCATCTCGGAGCTCTCTTGGGGCTCTTTGGGGGATCATGGGGTCCTCTCGGGTCTCTTTCGGAGGGTCTTGGCGCCCTCTTGGAGCTTTCTTGGGGCTCTCTTGGGGACCTCGTGGAAGCCCTGGAGGGCCTCTTGCGGCTGTGGAGGGCGTCGGTGAGAAAGAGGGGTCCTAACGCTTGGTCCCTCCTCTGGCGCCCTCGAAGTCGCCCCTTGGGGCCTTCTTGGGGCGATCTTGGGCGCTCTGGCGGCCGTCTTAAGGGCCTCTTGGGCACATCTTGGGGCTCTCTTGGGCCATCTTGGGGCCATCTTCAGTCTTCAAAATCGCATCGGAAGCGAACATGCGAGAAGGCATAAATAGTGGTTTTCCTTAGGTGTTCGATGGCTGTTGGCCTCTTTGGGGGGGGGGGGAGGGGGATACGAGCGCACTTACAGCAGCCGTCTTGCGGCTCTCGTCGGGCCTCTTGGAGGCATGTCTGAATTGAACCATCTTCGGCTATCCTGCGCCGCCTTGGAGGCCGTCTTGGAGCATAGGAGGCCCTCTCGGAGCCATCTTGGGCGAAAAATAACCCCCTGATACGTCGCGGCCGGCCGAAAAACCTCAGGGACGGGAGGGGGAGGGTGCCCCTCCCCGAAGGGAAGAGGGGCTGTGGACGAGGAAAGAGAGACATCGTGAGACCCCCTAGGCCCGTAGGGCTGGTGGGACTCTCGGTGCAGGCGCTGGCTGGGGAGGAGCAGGGGGAGGAGGAGGAGGAGGAGGAGGAGGAGGAGGAGGAGGAGGAGGAGGAGGAGGAGGGAGAGGAGGAGGAGGAGGAGGAGGAGGAGGAGGAGGAGGAGGAGGAGGAGGAGGAGGAGGAGGACAGGAAGCAGTAGGAGGTCCAAAGTCGAGCCGCCGGGCGCCTGGAGCCGTCTGTCGGGGCCTCGTGCTGCGACGCCCTTCGCCCGCCGAGCGTCCAGCAGCGCAGCCCGGCGGAGGGCCCGGCGGCCGGCCCGAGTGCTGCTCGCGACGCGGCGGCCTCGAGGCAGCCCGAGCGGGCCGCGCCGCGGCGGAGCGACCCGAGGCTCCGGGGGAGGGGGAGGAGGAGGAGGAGGAGGAGGAGGAGGAGGAGGAGGAGGAGGAGGAAGAGGAGGAGGAGGAGGAGGAGGAGGAGGAGGAGGAGGAGGGAGGAGGAGGAGGAGGAGGAGGAGGAAGAGAGGAGGAGGAGGAGGAGGAGGAGGAGAGGAGGAGGAGGGAGGAGGGAGGAGGAGGAGGGGAGGAGGAGGAGGAGGAGGAGGAGGAGGGGGGGGCACTGGCCGAGGGCTGGGGGGGGGGAGAGAGCGCGCCGCCACTCGGAGGTGTGCCCCTGCGTCGCCGTCGCCTTCCTGGGCCCTCCCGGGAGGCCCTCGTCGCCACCGGGGGCATTCGCCTCGGCATCTTGGTCCGCGCGCTCTCCCCGGGAGAGGTCCGCGGCGCAGCGGTGTCGGCACCGTGGTGTGCTTGCCAAGGAGAAGCGCACCTCCACCCTCACCTGCCCCCCCCCTCCCCCCATCGTGGGCCTGAGCCGAACAGCTTGCTTCGGCTCTCAAGGTTGCGAGGGCGTCTCGCGACAAGGGTACACTGAGTATACCCCCCACCACCCTCCTCCCACCCATCCCCCCTCTGGGGGGGGTGGGGGCGTTCTTTCCTCCCCCATTCGGAGGGAAGCATGCTCCCAATTACCTGCACACTGCTCATTTTTAATTATCCGAGAGTTCTTTGATTGTTTCTTGGGGCCAAGATCCTCTCATTTCTAGTTCTTCCATCCTGGGCCTGTTCCTGGCCATTAGGGGGCCAGGAAAAATTAGAAGCGAGCACACTTAGAAATGAACACGATGAGAAATGAGCAAAGTGTGCTCCTCGCCGACCAGGGCCTTGGCCCAGAGAACAGACCGCGGCACGAGCATCAACGTTCTTGGGCCCGAGCGGGGTTCTTGGATCTGCTCTTGGCCCCCCCTGGTGTAATGATGTTCTAACCTACTTTAGCCTCGATCTCCAAAAAGAATTTCGAGCACCAAGAAAGTACTGAAACTAGGGTTTTTTTTAGTGCCGGGCCCAGGGCTGTGACACTGTCTCGACACTGTTTCGACACTTCTCTGGGTGCTCGAAATTATTTCTGGGATGTGGCCCTTAAGTACGATGGGAGCAACACGACCCTGGTGGCGCCTCTGACGCCGCACCTGGCGCCTTCCGCGGGGGGGTGCCAGGGCCGATCCAAGAAATCCGCGAGGACCTCCGACAGTTTCGGTTTGCGCATTTTTCCTGTCATCCTATGGTGTGCCTCAGCCTTCCCAGGGGGGGCACACTGCCGATCTATCGGCGATGCATCGTCGATCCCAGGTCGTGGAGTCCACCCCTGGATTGCCACGCTTCGTCTCGCCGTTTTCGGCCCCTCGGGGCCCTCTCTGGGCCCTGTAGGACTGCCCCAACACGACGCAGGATGAAGGCCTGGTCCTGGGGGACGCCCCTGGGATCCCACCACCCTGACCCGCTTGGCTGATGCCAACCCCTTGGAATCCGACGTTGCGACACAGTTGCAACATCGGGAGAATTCACGACCAGCGCACTCGACCCCATGCTTCTGCAGCATTTCTCGAGCCAGATCGATATTCCAGTGGGTTCGCGACCAGATTTGTTCGGTAGCGTTTTCACACGGTCGCGAATTTCGGTCGCACCGGTTTGGCAGCATGTTTAGGTAGCGAACACACATGCAAGACACATCAACATCGGTAGCAGTATGACGGCCAACATCGAGGGCGATGCGAAACATCGGTATTTGGATTTCAGTAGCGACCGAAATTCGCACACATGCCTCACGACAAACGTGCTACAAACGTTTGTCAAACGTTTGTCGCGATCTTTGTTTGAAAGAGACATGTGTCGATAACCTGATCACAGGCAAAAGTTTGTCGACAAGCAAAAGTGTGTCCAGCGCGCTACCGAACTTCGTCGTCGCTCGCGCCGATCATTTTCGGAAGCGAGCGATGCAATGTTCGATAGCGGCTACCAGTTTTGCCTTGGTTTCACGTTGGTCTCAGATTGGCGCTGCCATGCCATCGGAGACTTCAGTTGCTACCGAAGCGTGGTCGTTCTCTTGGGATGTCGGTCGCACCCGAAATGTGCAAAGCGCTACCAGACA